CCTTAGTCTTTTTATCTTATCCACAGCAGCATGTGATGAGTTGACCACTGTGTCCTTTCTGGAATATTTCCTTATCTAGGGTTCTGCACCCTTGACTTCCCTGTGACTACACTGGCTGCTCCTTCTCATTCTTCTTTGCTACTTCCACATCTCTATGACCTACAAACACTGTACCCAGGATTAAGTTCTGGAACCTGTTGTATTTTCTGTTAACACTCATTCCCTTGAATGATTTCATTCATTCAAGTTTCTATCTCAAGGGATCTTTTCCTTGAGAGCTATACTCAGGTGTTGTTGTTATTTTGTTTTAATATACTTTCATTGATTTCAGAGAGGAAAAGAGATTTTAAAAAAAAAATCAATAATGAGAGAGACTCATTGATCGGCTGCCTCCTGCATGCCCCACACTGGGGATTGAGCCCGAACCCTGGTCATGTGCCCTGACTAGGAACTGAACGTTACCTCCTGGTTCATAGGTCGACGCTCAACCAGTGAGCCAAGCTGGGCTGGGCCATACTCATGTTTTTAGCTGCTTTTCAACATTCCCATCTTAAACAGAACACATCCAAAACCAAACTCCCGATTTTCCTCCTCCCAAACCTGCTCCCCCTGAAATCTCCTCCTTCTTAGAAAACAAAAGTTCTTTCTAAGTTGTACACGTCAGAAACCTTGGCGACATCACTGACTTCTCTCCATAACTTTGTCTCTCCTTCCATAACACACCTTGTCAGTTCTGCCTGTGAAATACATCCCGGATCTAACCACTTCTTACAACCTCTTCTAATAACATCCTTGGCCTTACCAGCCTCCATCATCTCTATCGGGAAAACTGAAATGGCTTCCTAAAGCATCTCCCTGCTTCCTCCCTTGCCTCCTACAGGTCATCTTCAACACAGGAGCTAGAGCGACCTTGCTGAAATATAAACCAGGTCATATCACTCTTCTCAAAATCCCCCAATGGCTTCCACATCATTCAGAATAAAAGCCAAAGTCCTTACAAGAGCCTATACACATGACCCACATGCAACCTACAAGGCCTTGCATGGTCTTGCCTTCCTCCTGCCCTACCATTAAGTCTCTGACATCACCTCCTCCAGTCACCTGGGCCATCTTGCTGTTCCTTAAACACACCAGGTACACTCCTGCCAGGAACATTCTCCGCCCGCCCCCACAAGATTCATACATGAGACATTCCCTTACTTTCTTTCGGTCTTGGCTCAAATGTCATCTTTTCAGGGAAGCCTTCCTTCCATAATCTAAAACTTCAACACTCCCTTCCTGGGCACTCTCTGACCTCTCCTGGTGGCTCCTTTTCTCCTTAGCTGTTATCGCCACTTCACATGCTATACGTTTTATCCGCTCAGCTCATGTCTATCTCACCTATTAGATCGTAAGCCCATGAACACAAAGCTTTGTGTCTGTTTTCATCACTGCTTAATCCACAGCTTATAGAAGACACTCTGGCACAGAGTAGATGTTAAAAAATTATTTGTTGCCCAGCTGGTGTGGCTCAGTGGTTGAGCACCAACCTATGAACCAGGAAGTCAGGGTTTGATTCCCAGTCAGGGCACATGCCTGGGTTGCAGGCTCGATCCTCAGTAGGGGGTGTGCAGGAGGCAGCCGATCAATGATTCTCTCTCATCATTGATGTATCTATCTCTCTCTCCCTCTCTCTTTCTCTCTGAAATCAATAAACATATATTTTAAAAAATTATTTGTTGAATGAATAAACAACATACATAATTGGCAAGAGTGTGGAGATCAGGCATTCTCAAAATTGTTGGTATGAGTGCCAATCGGTATAATCTCTACAGAGGGTAAATAGGCAACAACTATCAAAATTACAAATGCACCTATCTTTTGACCCAGCAATTCTACTTCTCATAATTTACACTAATAAAAGACAAACATGCAAATTGACCGTATCTCCGCTATGCCTCAAGCCACGCCTGACAGCAAATCAGAGTGACTATATGCAAATTAACCTAACCAAGATGGCGGCCGGCAGTCACGGAGCTGGAGCAAGCCGGAGGCTTGGTTGCCCCAGTGATGGAGGAAGCCAAGCTTCCCACTTGCCTTGGCCTGGCTCTGAGCTCCACTCAAAGCAACAGTTTCAATTATAGAAGATGAATAAACCCCAGATACCTGCTTTCAGCCGGCCATGGCCATGGAGCTGGAGCGAGCAGGAGGCTTCCCTCCCACCTGCCCTGGTCAGCTCTGAGCTCCTCTCAAGGCTACAAAGTTTCAATAATAGAAAGTAAATAAATCCCAGAATAAAAAAAAAAAGGAGAGGCTGGGAGCTTCCCTCACCAGGGGGCTTGGCCAGCCTGAAAACTGCCCTCAGCCCCTCACCCAGACTGGCCAGGCACCCCAGTGGACCCCCAACCCTAAAGGGGGTGTGGCCATCCTGAAAACAGCCATCAGTCCCTCACCCAGGCTGGCCAAACCTCCATACGGTGAGGTTCCCCACTGAGGGGGTCTTGACCAGCCTGAAAACAGCCATCAGCCCCTCACCCAGGCTGGTCAGGCACCCCAGCGGGACTCCCACCCTGATCCGGGACACCCTTCAGGGTAAACCAGCTGGCCCCCACCTGTGCACCAGGTCTCTATCCTATATGATAAAAGGGTAATATGCAAACTGATCCTAACAGCAGAATGACTGGCAATGACTGATCACTATGACACATACTGACCACCAGGGGCTGGTTGAATGGCTGACCAGAACCTTAGCATATTAGGCTTTAATTATCCTATCTAATAATAGACAAACAGGGTAATTGACTGTACCTTCACTACGCTTCCCATTGGCTAATCAGTGTGATATGCAAATTAACTGCACACAAAGATGGCGGTTAATTTGCATACATAGGTTCCAAGTGGTGGAGCGAAGCCTGACAGCCCGGGGGCCGGAGCAGTGCCGCGGGCCCCGGGGCCGTGAGGCTTCGCTGTGCCGCCGGCTGGAGCCCAGCCAGAGTGAAGGCCTGGGTCCCAGGTGCCAGAGGAAAACTGGTGCCAGCAGCCAGGGGAAAGGAAGGCCTATTTCATGAATCTCTTCATGCACATACATAGGTTCCAAGTGGTGGAGCGAAGCCTGACAGCCCGGGGGCCGGAGCAGTGCCGCGGGCCCCGGGGCCGTGAGGCTTCGCTGTGCCGCCGGCTGGAGCCCAGCCAGAGTGAAGGCCTGGGTCCCAGGTGCCAGAGGAAAACTGGTGCCAGCAGCCAGGGGAAAGGAAGGCCTATTTCATGAATCTCTTCATGCAACAGGCCTCTAGTATCTTTCATAAAGTTCATACATGTGCAAAATGACACAAAGTAATTCACTGCAGCATATTTTATCCCTGAAAAAGAAAGAAAACAGCCAAAATAGAGACCATTTAAAGAAATTTCAGTTTATCCATACAATAGAATATTTTACAGTAGCACAAAAAGAATGAAGAAACTTCTCGTGTGCTGATATAAGCTTCCAGGTAGATACACTGCCATGTGCCCACTTTTTAGGAAGGTGCTGAAAGTACATTTAATTTGCCACCTTTTTATAAAAATAAAGGGAAAGGTGCAAAATAACATATATCTGTATTTTCTTGTGCATGCACAGACTATTTCGGGAAGGATACTCAAGAAACTGCTAACAGTGATTGCTTATTTGGAGGGCAACGGATGGATCAGAGGCAGAGGTAGGAGACTTTGCTGTAAATCCTTTTCAATTTGAAAATCTGTACCTTGTGAATGTTTTATCTATTAAAAGAACAAGGCAGGGTTTATGTTCCAATATGGAATAACTTTTTTTTTTTTTAAAAATACATTTTTATTGAGTTCAGACAGGAATGGAGAGGGAGAGAAAGACAGAAACATCAATGATGAGAGAATCATTGATCGGCTGTCTCCTGCATGCCCCCTACTGGGGATCAAGCCTTCAACCCAGGCATGTGCCCTGACGGGGAATCGAACCCAGGACCCTTCAGTCCCCAGGTTAGGGCTGGAATGACTTTTAAGATATAAAAGGTGAGGCAAAAGAAGCTTCATATGGAAAATAATATAATAATTAATAAATAATGCAAGAATAAACTCTGTATCTCATGTACTCTAAAACTAATTTTGCCCCACCCTGTACATATGTTATAGTTCTTTTTAAAAAGGTAAAATACAAAAGAGTGTGTGTAGCATGGTATACATAGCAGTGGGGGCAGACTTACTTTTCATTATTTACTCTTTTGTAATACCTTTTGAATTTTTTACCTTATATATTATTTCCTATTTAAAAAAAATAATTTTTAAAAATCATGGTTGGAGAATAAATTAAAAAAAATTTTAAATATATTTTTATTGATTTCAGAGAGGAAGGAAAAGGGAGAAAGAGATAGAAACATCCATGATGAGAGAGAATCATGGATTGGCTGCCTCCTGCAAGTCCCTCACTGGGAATTGAGCAGACAACCTGGGCATGTGCCCTTGACCGGAATCGAACTTGGGACCTTTCAGTTCGCAGACCAACGCTCTATCCACTGAGCAAACCGGCTAGGGCAAGAATAAATGTTTATATGGATCACCTTGGCAATCCTTGAAACCTGTCAAGTATTTCTCCAGTTTTCAAACGAAGGAAAGGGATATTCAGAGGAGTCAAGTCAAACAGTGCAGAGGTGGCACCTGGACTGGAACCCAGCTTTCCCTGCCCTGCCCACTCCAGTCCCTTCATTCTCCCAGCCTCTCTCTGCTCCAAGTTCACATCCTACTCCACTCTCCGCACAACCCCCTCCCCGCCCCTCCCTCCCTCTTCCCAGGCTCCCTCAGGGAACACAGCTCCTAAGCCCAGCCCCAGAGAGTTTGCCGCCAAGGTTTTCTTCAGGGGCCATGGCTGGCGGCTCCCTGGTGTCTGACAGTTTTTTTTTCTGCTGAGAGCCACCAACATGGGGGTGGGAGAGGGGGTGACAGCTCCATCCCTCCCTGGAGGCACCACCACTCTGTGACTGAGCCCAGGCTGCCCAGGCCTCCCCTAGTTGTACCTGTCAATAATGACGGGGTCTGAGGGTGTCTCATTCCGGTTGCCACAGCTCTTCCGGTCACAGCACCGGCTGATGGAAAGATGGAGAAGGAAGGAAGGAGAAAGGGAGTGAAGGAGAGGGAAATTACTGTGTGTGTGTGTGTGTGTGTCTGGAATCCTAGGGCCAGAGGGGCTCACTCCCAGGGACCTGGGGGAGAAAGGCAGTGAGGGTCCTGCCACAGGGACCTGGAGAGCCCAGCCCAGGGGATAAGGTTGGCAGGGAAACCTTGTCCCTAAGGTATGCTGCTGCCGGAGGATGCATACAGAGACAGCTCAGATGGTAAGCAAGCAGCTCAGGAATCGTCACATGGTGAACCTGCCCATGTAACCAGCCCCTGACAAGAAACACCACGTAGTGCTCAGTGCCCCAGAACCTCTGGAGCCCCTTCCTTGTCACGTCACTACTCTTCCCAGAGGCAGCCATCATCCCAAGCACGTTTTTTTAAAATCTTTTTTTTCTAATTTAAGTTTTTTATCCTACCCGATTTTTGAACATTGTATTCTCTTTCCCGTGTATGAGGAACTGACATTGTCCGACTGGCATCTCCTGGGGAGACCTTGCCTGGAAATGCCACGCCTTGTGGTGATGGGGAAGGAGAGCCAACCGTGTGCCCCCCACTCCCCTCTGCCCCACCCAGGAAGTGCCCTGGGTCAAGTAGGAGGCAGCAAAGTTTCCTCTCTCCTGCTCTGGAGGGAATCCAGGAGGCCCAGGCCCTGCCCCCGACATCCCCAGGGAGCCCTCCCCAGAGCTTTATTAGTTAAGCTTCCCAGCAGCGGCTGGAGGCTTCTCTTACAAAAACACTTGGAGAAGCCACATAAACAGGCCAGGTTAATGGGGCCTCAAGGACCCTCTTCTCAGCCAGCACTGTGCCCAGGGGCCTCCCTCTTCCCTCATCGCCCCCGCCCCCCAGGTTTTCCCAGGGAGCAGAAAGGAGGGCGGCGGTGGCAGTGGCAGTGGGCAGGGCCTGGTGGGGGTCCTTGACAAAATCTCGGCCAAGGTCAAGGTGCAAGTGAGCCCTTCTCACCTGCACATGATCTCGTGGGTGAGCAGCACGCGGCACATCTCCGGGTTTTTGTCCTGCCCCTCATAGATGATGGCCTGGGGGAGGGAGGAAGGGAACAGGCTCAAGTGGCTGTAGGCTCCTCTTATGTCCCAGTGCAGGGGAGGGATGGGCCCCGCCCCCTGGGAACACCATACCCTCCAAGCCACTTTGCGGGGGGCCTAGGGTTGAGAGCAGAAACTGGGAGCCAGGATTACCACCAGGACAGGCAACAGTGGCACGAACTCTGCAGATCCTGTTTGTCCACAGGCACCTCTTTCCAGGTCCAGCTCTGCTTGGGCCCAAGGACCAAGGCCAGGCTGGGATGGGGGAAGACACGCTTATCCCCACACTTCCCATGGCCCTAGTGGACCTCTGCTTCTGCTCACAGACATTGTCTTCTAGGCTATCCTAGCTGGTTAATCAGGCTTCCCCTCTCCCATCCTTACCACCTCCCCAGCCCAGGCCAGGTCTCACCCTTGGACTATTGGGTCAGTTTCCTCACTACCCTCCCCCACCCCACCGGCCACTTCTACCCTCTACCCTGAAGCAAGGAGTAAGCTTCCTAAACTGCAAATCTAGTTTCCCACTTTATAACCCCTGAGCCTCCCAGCCCTCTCCCACTTGTGGGGTCCTTTCTCTCGACTCCCCCACAACCACTTCCACACTTATTCCCCACACAATCCCTCTTTGTCACTACCTGCCTGGTCTGCCTCCCCATGACGGCAACCACAGAGTTTCTAGAAAGAAACCATTTCTCCCTCTGTCCCTCTGTCCTTGGATAGGCACTGCTGGAAAGCCCAAGTGTCCACTGGCATTCAGGGCCACTGTGGGCCCATGTGAGCTCAGCTCCCTGTTGACGTGCACTGCACTCGCAACTTCTCTGCAAGAGACTTGCAGCTCTGCCTCAGCAAGAGCCCATTGGGCTCCTTCAGGGATCAGTCTTCCCCGAGCCCCTGCGGACCTTGGCCTCTGAGCCTCCTTCCCGTGACCTTCCACATCAGCAGGTGCTGAGGGTCTGCAGGAGAAGCTCTGGGCCCCACCTCATCCCCTTTCCTGGCCCAGTGCCCCCACCCCCCCAGTTGCAGTTAGTGTTGGCTGCTATGTGTTTTCTCTGGAGGCTGGCTCTCACGCCTAGGCGCTGCCTTGCCTGAAAATGTCGGGAAGGTTACAGGCTCCCCTTGGGAGTGTTCCCCAGCCAATTACTGACTCATACAGGGTACAGAATCCTGGCCTCCTGGCCTCAGGGGGACGACTCTGTTGTCATTCCTTCTCCAGGGCCCCCTGTGGATCAGGCTGAGGTTGGACTGCAGCTGAGACCCCATCCATGCTGAGCGTCCCTGCCCTGTTCTGCTTCCCTCCCTCTCTTCTCCTGAGAGCCCCTGGCTGCCCCCAATAAACCTTGTACAGCTGAACCCTTCTGTCTAGGCTGGGCTTCCAGGGAGCATGACCTAGGATGAGGTCTTTGTACAAATATTGCCTTTTTCTAGACTAGAGGGCAAGGACCACACAGGCTGGGGTAAGCATTGGGGAGGTGGGGACAGGGATGGGGATGCTCACTCACACCCCCAGAGATGGGGGTCCGAGAAGGCCAGAGCACCCCTGGGCTGGCTCACCTGCTTGGACATGGAGTCAATGAGACGCACATAGAGGTCCTGCTCTGTCCGAAGTCCTGAGGGTGGAAAGGTGGAGAGGGCTTGCTGTAGGGGGAGCAGCGTGGCCTCTGATGACTGGAGCACACTCCACACTCTCCCCACCTGGAGGCAGGGGCCCCCTCAGCCCTGCAACGGGGTATTTTGTGCTGTGGGGCTTTGGCACCCAGTGTGCAGCGGGCTTCACTCACCATTGTTATACACCAGCCGGAGGCGGTAATGGATCCCGTTGTTCGTCTTTTCAGCCCCAGGTTCCTACAGGGCCGAGATGGGGAGGATGCTCCCAGGGATTCCCTCACCCAGCCCCCCTCTCTACATCCACCCTCCTTCCCTCCTGTCCATCCATTCACACCACCTCCCTTCTCTACTTCTCCACTCTATCCATTCATCTGCCCCGGTGGGAGGGGATCCCTGAAGCCCTCCTGCCCCTCCCCCACCGTGCTCCGTCCCTGCGGAGCCCACGAGCCTCTCACTCGGTCCTTTTCCACGAAGTCGATAAAGGCCGTGCGCTCCACCTCCACGGGCTGCCCCTGCCGGTCATACATGGCCAACACGAAGTGGAAGAAGTTGGATTTCCTGAGGTTGGAGGGGGGCTGCTTCTCAAAATGTGCTCGTGCCAGGCCCACGCCACTGTGGGAAGAGAGGAGCAGGAAGCCACCGGAAGTGCTCTCAGAGGGGACCCCATCGCCTCTGGCCAGGTAGTGGGGCTGGCCAGGATTTGGCTCTGACTTGTCAAGACTCTGGGCAAGGAATAAATTGGATGGGCCCGTTCCACGCTGCCAGGATCATTGCAGTTCCAGGCAGGAGCCACTGAGCCCCGACGTCACTCAGCCTGCTCTCTTGGGAACAGGCAGTGGCAGCAAAGGTGTCCCAGCCAGGCTCCCTCCCAGGCTTTTCCTTGGGCCCCACATTTTTTAAAATATATATATATATTATTGATTTTTTACAGAGAGGAGGAGAGACAGAGAATTAGAAACACCGATGAGAGAGAAACATCGATCAGCTGCCTCCTGCACACTCCCCACTGGGGATGTGCCCGCAACCAAGGTACATGCCCTTGACCGGAATCGAACCTGGGACCCTTCAGTCCGCAGGCCGACGCGCTATCTGCTGAGCCAAGCCGGTTAGGGCAGGGCCCTGCATTTTGAAAGGCTGATCTCCAAAACCAAATGCATGAACAACCCATGTTACTGACCAGAGAGGCTCCTGAGATTGCCCTTCAGGGCATCAAGGGGCAGTTAGGAGGTTCTGGAACAAATAGCCCACTGTAACCCAGTCCATGGCTGTGCACACGAGCTTGCGGCATTGCCTGGGAGATGATATCCATCGGACACTCAGAGACATCAAACTGGCTCAGGGCCATTAGCCTGCCCAGCCTGGATCTGGGCTTTGGCTGAAGGCAGGGGCGCCTCTCCAGGTATGGAGGGACCTGCCTCCCTGCTTTGGGAAAGACAGTCCCTGGCTCCCTGGGCAGGAGGATCTTTTGGTCTGGCCTTGCCAAGGGCTTTCTCCTGGGTCGCCAGAAACTATTTTCAGAAGCAAGGCCAGGTGAGAGCAAGAGAGAGGGACCCTTTTCACCAGGTATTTCCCGAACTCCAATGATGTACCAAGCACTGAACACATGGCACTGAGTGGGGCCGGAGTTAAATGTCTGGAAGAGGAGGGAAGACAGAGAGCTGTAACCCAAGACAAAGTGGTAGGTGCCTTGCAAGAGATGTTACTATATTAAAAACTATAGAAGCAAAGGAAGAAGAAAATGAATTCTTTCTGTGAGAGATGAAAGATTTATGGAGATGGTGGCCTTTATCCGGTCCTTGAGGGATGAATAAGAACTCAACAGGTCTTCTCCTCGCAGACCCTTGGGTCTTCTCCACAAAAGAGCAGACCAGACAGCATAAGAAATGGCAGTAGGTGTGAGTGTTAGTGTCACTGGGCTACAGATTTCAAAGTGATGGGAAGAGACAAAAGGCTATATTGAAAGGGCTAGACTAGGCAGGAACACAAAAAACAGAGTTTAGACTTCCTTTTTTGGGTCAAGGTCTTCCAAAGTATATTCCTTAGATCTCTTTGTAGCTCCAGATCCTTCCTTTACAAAAGGGCAGTATGGCCACAATTGCTGGGAAATGGGGCTCCATAGCATACATTTGTGTATGAGGAGCCTGGGACATCCTCCAGGAATGGACCCCACTTGGCCTGGTCAAGCTGGTGCTCCTGATGTGTGGTAGCCAGCCTCAAAGATGGTTTCCCAGGATCCTCACCTCCTGGTACTCATGCCCTGGGTAGTCCCCTCACATACTGTATCAGGATTGGTCTGTGTGGCTGATACATTATAGCACTAGTGGTAGCATATGAGTTCCAATGTTGGGTCATAAGAGACACTGTGGCTTCTGCCTTGCTCTAGCTGGCTGGCATGTGGGGAGGACATTCAAGCAGCCCTATGGAAGGTCCATGTGGAGAAGACCCGTGGCCTCCTGTTGACAGCCAGCACTCACTTGAGTGACACCTTGGAAGGAGATCCACCAGCCCCAGTCAAGCCTTCAGATGATGGCAGCCCAGGCTGTCACCTTGACTGCAGCCTCATAAGAGACCCTGAGCCATGGCTTATCTATAATAATAAAAACGTTATATGCTAATTAGACTGGATAGCCTTCCAGAGGAAGCTGGGGCTGTGAGGGAAACCCAGGTCCCTGGTGCCAGAGGGAAGCGGTGCTGGCAGCCGGGGGAAGGAAGGCCTACTCTTGCACGAATTTTGTGCATTGGGCCTCTAGTAGTTAATAATACTGTGTGGTAATAGATGTTAGCTAGATTTACTGTGGTGATCATTTTGAAATAAATAAATACAAATATTGAATCATTATGTTGTACACCTGAAACTAATATACTTTTATGTGTCAATTATATCTCAATTTAAAAAATAATTTACTTGCTTATACAAAAAAGAAAGAAACCCTGCGCCAGAGCCACCCACCTATGCTGTTCCCTGATGCCTGACTCTCAGAAACTGTGTGAGATAATATATTTGTTGTCTTATGTTGCTGAGTTTTGGAGCATTTTTTTTTTTATGTGGCAGTAGATAACTGAGACACCATGCTTACTCAGCTATGGAGCACTTTTGTTGAGCGATATGGTTTGGGAAACATGACTAAAGGCCATCAGAAGAGTTTGAAGCCAGGCAGGGCTTAGAACAGTGGTTCTCAACCTGTGGGTTGCGACCCCTTTGGCGGTCAAACGACCCTTTCACAGGGGTCGCCCAAGACTATCCTGCATATCAGATATTTACATTATGATTCATAACAGTAGCAACATTACAGTTATGAAGTAGCAACGAAAATAATTTTATGGCTGGGTCACAACATGAGGAACTGTATTTAAAGGGCCAGAAGGTTGAGAACCACTGGCTTAGAAGATGCTGTAGGCGGGTGGACAGGGTGGTGGGAAAGTGGGAAGCTGCAGCCGGGATAGAGGAGGATGGGGTGGTGGGATGCCTTGAGAGCCGTTTAGACCAGAGTCTCACCATGGACATGCCAACGCCTGCCATTTTTGGGAGTCTGTGCTGTGAGATTCCTTCTCCTTCCCCACGTGGGAGTCTGTACTTGTTCTTCAATAAATTTCCACCTTTGCTCTAAAAAAATAAAATAAAATAAATGTATTCAGCTTCCTGTGAAGCCATAATATCTGAGCTGTCATGGGCTTGAGAGTTGAGAGGCTTGTCATGTTTTTACGCCTAGAGTACACCACATAAACAATAAAATGAAAATTGTGCCTCCTCTTGAAAGCCTGCCTGGGAGCCCCAGTGGTCCATGTGACATGTTGGTTCCAGAGGCAGAAGTGATGGGTCTTGTTTGTCCAGATCAGGAGGAGGAGGAGGAGGGGGACTACCAACAGCTTTTCCACACCAAAGGTTTTTCTACACAAATTCCTTTCTCTAAGGACATCCTTCTCCCTTAATCCCTCATCCTTCCTCCTCCCTCTCCCCTCTACCCCCTCAGGCTACAGTCCTTTGAAGTCCTGGCCTTGACCCTCCAAATTCCCTCCAGAGGGCTTTGATCACAGCAGGTCCCTGATTACTGTTGATGAATATGTTAATGAGGCAGCAGCCCTGACTCCTCCCTCCAGTCCCCAGGACCACTTTGGGGGAGAAAAGCTCCCAGGGACAGGTTCCAGGACCACCTGGGATGAGAGAAGGCCAGAGGGGGTGGGCTTATGGAACCATCCCAGATCATGCTGCCCTTTATTCTGTCATCTCGCCCAGGAAAGACACTGGAACACTTTCAGACAGCAGGGAGTGAAGATACAGAGGAAAGCAAAAAAGGTCTTAAGAGAGGAAGGGTGGGTGCTGGGCAATAATACGATCCCCTAGACCACTCAACACACCCTTTCTACAGAGACAGCCTTATACTTCCCAGGCCAAGAGTAAACCAGTGATGCTGGTCTCTCCCACCCATCCCTCTTGGCAGATATCAGGCAGTCCTGAGTCCTGCCTACCTGCTGGCTCCTGCAGCCACCTCAGAACCAGACCTGGGGAGTCTGGTCTAAGTCCCAAGCCAAGCTCCCTCCACAAGGTCCACCTTCCCCACAGGAGGGGATTCTTGGAGAGAGAGGTCAGGTACCCTTGCCTGGGGTTTGTGACACTGGTGCTGCCAGCTGGGGAGTTTGGAGGGGCTGCCCTGTCTCATAGGCCTGTGCCCTACCCCACAGGGATCGGGCTCAGTCCCACTTCCCTTGAGACAGCCCAGCATTATCCTCTCTCCCCCACCTTGTTTAGTGGGTCTGAGGCACAATCCTCCCCCTGGGCTCACCCACCCATGCCAAACAATGGGGCCGAGGTGGCTAGTGCAGAGCTGAGACAGGAGCACTATCCTGCACAGAACAATGTGACAGCCGCAGCCCCCGCAGGCCAGGAGACTGCAGGTTGGGCAAGCCCCCTGCTGGGCACACCCAGGCCTGCTCCTGGTCTGTGACTGTCTCCAGATTACCCCGTTCAAATCCAGCCCGGTATGTGAGAAGATCAAGGTGAGATAGAATAGGTTTTGCTTTAAAGACATTCTAGTACTCCTATGAACTGAGAGACAGAATGACAAAGGATCAGCACATCAGTGAGAGCACCAGAGGTTGGTCTGGACTAGGCCTTTCTTCTCCTGGTCCCTCCAGGCACCTCCACCCCCACCCCCAGCGTGCAGTGGGTGACCGACCAACATCCCTGAATGGAATTGTAAGCCCCAAAGGAGAGGGTTGAGAGAGGGGGGTAGAGAATGTTGCTTTTCTCCCCTTGGGAATAGCTGAAGCTCTTGTAGTGAGAAAACAAACCACAATTAAAGAACAGAAAGAAACTCAAAGAGAGCCAGGGGATGCGGAGAGGTGTGCGAGCCCTGCTGCGCGTGGCCTGGGTGTAGGTGCGGGGGATACAGGTGGGAGGTGGGCCCACTCGCTGCCCTCTCACTAGCTTAGAAGCAGACAGATTTGGATGAAGGCCAACGTCTCTGCTTCTGTGGTCTCCAAAGTGGGGTTGCCCAAGTCCAGAGTGTGGGGGAGAAACTGCGAGAATGTTTATGGATGTGACTCCTTTATCTCAAAGAAGGGAGACTGGAGGAGAGCCTCTGGAGTCTGGAGAGGCAAGTGTTTTATTTGGG